CTCCAAATAATATTTGGTTGATATCACGGATTCCGATCATCATTGTGAAAGAAGAATTGACATTAGAGGGGACTAATCCAGTCGGTCGTGTTCTTCAATCTATCTTTTTTGTCAACTTCGTAATTTAAGTTGCAATTTTTAGATTAGACAATTAAGTGACAAGTATTAATATGTATTCTAGGAATTTACATTTCATATCAAATTATCTACCTATTTATCTCGACCAATTTTAGTTTTAAAAAAAAAATGTCGATAATTTAAGAAAAATTAAATCTCAAAAGAAGCTAATTGTTCTAGGAGGTTACTATACCAGAACTTATCCAAACGGGTCAAAATCCGTGGTAAACAAGGACAAAAAACGACAAAAATTGCAAAAGAGAGAGAATAAAACAAAACTTGGTCTCGATTGATGATGCTCTGTTTCGTATTTTCAAGTCTTAACATATTTGTTGTTCGTGCGTTGAGCTGGGTCGAGTTGAGATCTTTTTCTAGACCTAACTCAGTAAGTTGGATCATAAAAATTTTCGACTCGAACCACCCTTATTAAAGAATTAAATCTTTTGATTTTCATGTTTAGAATGATATCTAAGAAATAAAAATGGGAACGAAGCTTTTTGGACATGGCTACATTACCAACTTGTCTTGAGTTGCTTATAAGAGTGAAGACTATCCACACAAACCAACACGGTTTCTTTAAACATGTTTTTTTCCTTGCTCGCATGTCTCCTACGATGTAATCTCGTACCTAGAATTTGGACCAGGCTTTGTAATCCAAATTTGGCACCTGATGGCCCCGACAATCCCTTTGCATCTTCAATGATATCGTCATATTATTTACTTGTTTTGAATTGCTCCTTAGAAGGAAAACTATACCTAAAAATCACGTTACCTATTTTATGTGGCTCAATCATAAGATTCATAAGTTAAGCGTGTTTGGTTTGGGGCAATCTTATGTTAGGCGACCTCTTGAAGTTTTCTTAACAAGCATTTCAATAAATACCAGAGTAAGCTAAAAAAAAATTCAACTTCCTAACCTGCCCTACCCATATAATTTTTCTAACATTGAAATCAATGTATACTCGAAGTCCGTCTTGTTATAGAAACTTTATTTTTACAAGGCTACCATTAATTTGTGGCCGAAAGCTCGTTTCCTTCCACCATAAGTGCTTCGTTGGGTTTGGCCAATGCCCAGTTTCATTGAGATTCAACGGTTCATAGGCAGGTGAGAGAGATATTGCAAGACAACCATTTACGAACAACTTAACGAAACAATAAACAACATTTAGTTATCAATTTATGTTTGGATTAAGAGAGGGAGATAGATCCATAACTTCCTTTACCTCCATCCCAACTTGATTTCTGTTCTTCAATTGGTATTAAATACATACATAAGAGTTCTAAATCTAAAACCAAATATCATTGTCTCTCACCCGTTTTCAAACAATATACATAAAAAAGAAAGAGGGCAAAGGCAGCATGAGTAGGATCAAGCTGAGTTTCTTGGTTGCTACAATTTTGACATTATTATTGTTAGCTTTTACCGTCGATGCTCAATCTAGCGCCGATGTTGTTTTTGATTTGGAAGCATATGGTAACATAGTGCCTGGTACTGACATCACGACGGTAAATATACAATATGAACATCAATATTATTACTAGTTGAGTTGATCGATTGTTTGCTAATTTTTGTTACTTGTGAAATGTAGGCTTTAGCAAATGCATGGAAGGATGCATGCGCGTCCGGTCGTTCTAGTGCAATCGTTATTCCGGGAGGGACATTTGAAGTACGGGAAGGGAATTTTGCAGGACCTTGTAAAAACCGAATTGACTTCCAACTTGGAGGAACGCTGCGGGCACCAAAAGCTCTTCCAGGAGATAATTGGATTATTTTTGCACATATTGATAGATTGACAGTATCGGGTGGAGGAGTTTTTGATGGCCAAGGAAAGGAAGCTTGGGGAAAGAATGATTGCCATAAACGCATAAATTGTGCCCAACTCCCCGTTGTAAGCAATATGCCTTCAACTTTCCTTTTCAATCTGGCGCATCTTGTTGTTTTTGAAAGGGTCTCTTAGATGTCTTCTCTCATCTTCTAAGGTTTATAATTTGGTAACTGTTCTTCCTTTTTTAGAGGATAATCTTTAAACAGTCAAGTTTTCAATTTTATTGGGTTCTATTCAAATTGTTTGCTTTATTACTACCAACTCTCACAAAATATTATTTGATTATACAAAATATTTAGAGTTTGAGGTTCAACTTCATCACCAATTCAATCGTGACGAGAATTACGTCACTTGATAGCAAGAACTTCCATATCAACGTCCTCGGCTGCAACAACCTCACACTCCATAATATCAATATAATTGCACCAGGAAACAGTCCCAACACTGATGGAATACACATCGGTCGATCAAATAAGATCACGATCACAAAGTCCAAAATTGCAACAGGAGATGATTGCATTTCTCTTGGAGATGGAAGCAGACAAATTGAAGTCGCCAACGTGACATGCGGGCCAGGACATGGCATAAGCGTCGGAAGTCTTGGAAGATACACCAACGAAGAACCGGTTGAAGGTGTCCTCGTAAAGAACTGCACGATGATTAACACCACTAATGGTGTCAGGATCAAAACGTGGCCAGGTTCTGCTGCTGGAGGCACCGCCACCGATATGCACTTTTTGGACATTATAATGGTCAATGTTGGCAACCCTATTCTAATAGATCAAGAGTATTGTCCGTGGAATCAGTGCAATCGGCAGGTATTGATCGCATTCTCAAACCTTTGATTGATTTTGTCACTATAACTTTCACAAATAAACCATTTACAGAAGTTTGTTGTCTCATTTTGATTTTTCAGGTTCCTTCGAAAATTAAGATTAGTAAAGTGAGCTTCGAGAACATTAGAGGAAGTTCTGCAACTCCCGTGGCAATCAAACTTATTTGCAGCCGTAGCTTCCCATGCGAAGAAGTGAAATTCCGTGACATTGACCTCACTCCCAACGGGATAACAGGTCCTATTACATCCCAATGTACGAATGTGAGACCCATCGTCTCAGGAAAACAGAACCCTAAAATTTGTGCCTCTCCTTATCAACCTCCCCTAAACTGTTCATTGAATAATTCATGGAATTGTTCATTGTCATAGTACTTCAAAATAATAAACAACCTTAATTAAGAGAAGACAGCCTCTATCCATTTGTGGCTTTGTCTTTTGAATTTTTTTTCTTGTACTTTTCGAGATAAATAAAATGGTTGAATGTTCGAAAGAGACTTCGTGTTGGGAACAATGTAATGTCTTTAGTACCTCGACATTATAAAATAAAATTGTCTCACTCTTATTTTTCATTTTAGATTTGAATTCTAAATAAGATAAAGGGACGCTAGTAAAAAGAAAAATCCATTACTCAAGAAAAAAATACTTTAACCAACAAAAAATATCTACCACCCCTCTCTATTAGTTACTCTAGACAAATCATTTATCATTAGAAATTTTTTAGATAGATTCCAAAGTTAAGATCCGATCTCCAAATAATATTTGGTTGATATCACGGATTCCGATCATCATTGTGAAAGAAGAATTGACATTAGAGGGGACTAATCCAGTCGGTCGTGTTCTTCAATCTATCTTTTTTGTCAACTTCGTAATTTAAGTTGCAATTTTTAGATTAGACAATTAAGTGACAAGTATTAATATGTATTCTAGGAATTTACATTTCATATCAAATTATCTACCTATTTATCTCGACCAATTTTAGTTTTAAAAAAAAAATGTCGATAATTTAAGAAAAATTAAATCTCAAAAGAAGCTAATTGTTCTAGGAGGTTACTATACCAGAACTTATCCAAACGGGTCAAAATCCGTGGTAAACAAGGACAAAAAACGACAAAAATTGCAAAAGAGAGAGAATAAAACAAAACTTGGTCTCGATTGATGATGCTCTGTTTCGTATTTTCAAGTCTTAACATATTTGTTGTTCGTGCGTTGAGCTGGGTCGAGTTGAGATCTTTTTCTAGACCTAACTCAGTAAGTTGGATCATAAAAATTTTCGACTCGAACCACCCTTATTAAAGAATTAAATCTTTTGATTTTCATGTTTAGAATGATATCTAAGAAATAAAAATGGGAACGAAGCTTTTTGGACATGGCTACATTACCAACTTGTCTTGAGTTGCTTATAAGAGTGAAGACTATCCACACAAACCAACACGGTTTCTTTAAACATGTTTTTTTCCTTGCTCGCATGTCTCCTACGATGTAATCTCGTACCTAGAATTTGGACCAGGCTTTGTAATCCAAATTTGGCACCTGATGGCCCCGACAATCCCTTTGCATCTTCAATGATATCGTCATATTATTTACTTGTTTTGAATTGCTCCTTAGAAGGAAAACTATACCTAAAAATCACGTTACCTATTTTATGTGGCTCAATCATAAGATTCATAAGTTAAGCGTGTTTGGTTTGGGGCAATCTTATGTTAGGCGACCTCTTGAAGTTTTCTTAACAAGCATTTCAATAAATACCAGAGTAAGCTAAAAAAAAATTCAACTTCCTAACCTGCCCTACCCATATAATTTTTCTAACATTGAAATCAATGTATACTCGAAGTCCGTCTTGTTATAGAAACTTTATTTTTACAAGGCTACCATTAATTTGTGGCCGAAAGCTCGTTTCCTTCCACCATAAGTGCTTCGTTGGGTTTGGCCAATGCCCAGTTTCATTGAGATTCAACGGTTCATAGGCAGGTGAGAGAGATATTGCAAGACAACCATTTACGAACAACTTAACGAAACAATAAACAACATTTAGTTATCAATTTATGTTTGGATTAAGAGAGGGAGATAGATCCATAACTTCCTTTACCTCCATCCCAACTTGATTTCTGTTCTTCAATTGGTATTAAATACATACATAAGAGTTCTAAATCTAAAACCAAATATCATTGTCTCTCACCCGTTTTCAAACAATATACATAAAAAAGAAAGAGGGCAAAGGCAGCATGAGTAGGATCAAGCTGAGTTTCTTGGTTGCTACAATTTTGACATTATTATTGTTAGCTTTTACCGTCGATGCTCAATCTAGCGCCGATGTTGTTTTTGATTTGGAAGCATATGGTAACATAGTGCCTGGTACTGACATCACGACGGTAAATATACAATATGAACATCAATATTATTACTAGTTGAGTTGATCGATTGTTTGCTAATTTTTGTTACTTGTGAAATGTAGGCTTTAGCAAATGCATGGAAGGATGCATGCGCGTCCGGTCGTTCTAGTGCAATCGTTATTCCGGGAGGGACATTTGAAGTACGGGAAGGGAATTTTGCAGGACCTTGTAAAAACCGAATTGACTTCCAACTTGGAGGAACGCTGCGGGCACCAAAAGCTCTTCCAGGAGATAATTGGATTATTTTTGCACATATTGATAGATTGACAGTATCGGGTGGAGGAGTTTTTGATGGCCAAGGAAAGGAAGCTTGGGGAAAGAATGATTGCCATAAACGCATAAATTGTGCCCAACTCCCCGTTGTAAGCAATATGCCTTCAACTTTCCTTTTCAATCTGGCGCATCTTGTTGTTTTTGAAAGGGTCTCTTAGATGTCTTCTCTCATCTTCTAAGGTTTATAATTTGGTAACTGTTCTTCCTTTTTTAGAGGATAATCTTTAAACAGTCAAGTTTTCAATTTTATTGGGTTCTATTCAAATTGTTTGCTTTATTACTACCAACTCTCACAAAATATTATTTGATTATACAAAATATTTAGAGTTTGAGGTTCAACTTCATCACCAATTCAATCGTGACGAGAATTACGTCACTTGATAGCAAGAACTTCCATATCAACGTCCTCGGCTGCAACAACCTCACATTCCATAATATCAATATAATTGCACCAGGAAACAGTCCCAACACTGATGGAATACACATCGGTCGATCAAATAAGATCACGATCACAAAGTCCAAAATTGCAACAGGAGATGATTGCATTTCTCTTGGAGATGGAAGCAGACAAATTGAAGTCGCCAACGTGACATGCGGGCCAGGACATGGCATAAGCGTCGGAAGTCTTGGAAGATACACCAACGAAGAACCGGTTGAAGGTGTCCTCGTAAAGAACTGCACGATGATTAACACCACTAATGGTGTCAGGATCAAAACGTGGCCAGGTTCTGCTGCTGGAGGCACCGCCACCGATATGCACTTTTTGGACATTATAATGGTCAATGTTGGCAACCCTATTCTAATAGATCAAGAGTATTGTCCGTGGAATCAGTGCAATCGGCAGGTATTGATCGCATTCTCAAACCTTTGATTGATTTTGTCACTATAACTTTCACAAATAAACCATTTACAGAAGTTTGTTGTCTCATTTTGATTTTTCAGGTTCCTTCGAAAATTAAGATTAGTAAAGTGAGCTTCGAGAACATTAGAGGAAGTTCTGCAACTCCCGTGGCAATCAAACTTATTTGCAGCCGTAGCTTCCCATGCGAAGAAGTGAAATTCCGTGACATTGACCTCACTCCCAACGGGATAACAGGTCCTATTACATCCCAATGTACGAATGTGAGACCCATCGTCTCAGGAAAACAGAACCCTAAAATTTGTGCCTCTCCTTATCAACCTCCCCTAAACTGTTCATTGAATAATTCATGGAATTGTTCATTGTCATAGTACTTCAAAATAATAAACAACCTTAATTAAGAGAAGACAGCCTCTATCCATTTGTGGCTTTGTCTTTTGAATTTTTTTTCTTGTACTTTTCGAGATAAATAAAATGGTTGAATGTTCGAAAGAGACTTCGTGTTGGGAACAATGTAATGTCTTTAGTACCTCGACATTATAAAATAAAATTGTCTCACTCTTATTTTTCATTTTAGATTTGAATTCTAAATAAGATAAAGGGACGCTAGTAAAAAGAAAAATCCATTACTCAAGAAAAAAATACTTTAACCAACAAAAAATATCTACCACCCCTCTCTATTAGTTACTCTAGACAAATCATTTATCATTAGAAATTTTTTAGATAGATTCCAAAGTTAAGATCCGATCTCCAAATAATATTTGGTTGATATCACGGATTCCGATCATTATTGTGAAAGAAGAATTGACATTAGAGGGGACTAATCCAGTCGGTCGTGTTCTTCAATCTATCTTTTTTGTCAACTTCGTAATTTAAGTTGCAATTTTTAGATTAGACAATTAAGTGACAAGTATTAATATGTATTCTAGGAATTTACATTTCATATCAAATTATCTACCTATTTATCTCGACCAATTTTAGTTTTAAAAAAAAAATGTCGATAATTTAAGAAAAATTAAATCTCAAAAGAAGCTAATTGTTCTAGGAGGTTACTATACCAGAACTTATCCAAACGGGTCAAAATCCGTGGTAAACAAGGACAAAAAACGACAAAAATTGCAAAAGAGAGAGAATAAAACAAAACTTGGTCTCGATTGATGATGCTCTGTTTCGTATTTTCAAGTCTTAACATATTTGTTGTTCGTGCGTTGAGCTGGGTCGAGTTGAGATCTTTTTCTAGACCTAACTCAGTAAGTTGGATCATAAAAATTTTCGACTCGAACCACCCTTATTAAAGAATTAAATCTTTTGATTTTCATGTTTAGAATGATATCTAAGAAATAAAAATGGGAATGAAGCTTTTTGGACATGGCTACATTACCAACTTGTCTTGAGTTGCTTATAAGAGTGAAGACTATCCACACAAACCAACACGGTTTCTTTAAACATGTTTTTTCCTTGCTCGCATGTCTCCTACGATGTAATCTCGTACCTAGAATTTGGACCAGGCTTTGTAATCCAAATTTGGCACCTGATGGCCCCGACAATCCCTTTGCATCTTCAATGATATCGTCATATTATTTACTTGTTTTGAATTGCTCCTTAGAAGGAAAACTATACCTAAAAATCACGTTACCTATTTTATGTGGCTCAATCATAAGATTCATAAGTTAAGCGTGTTTGGTTTGGGGCAATCTTATGTTAGGCGACCTCTTGAAGTTTTCTTAATAAGCATTTCAATAAATACCAGAGTAAGCTAAAAAAAAATTCAACTTCCTAACCTGCCCTACCCATGTAATTTTTCTAACATTGAAATCAATGTATACTCGAAGTCCGTCTTGTTATAAAAACTTTATTTTTACAAGGCTACCATTAATTTGTGGCCGAAAGCTTGTTTCTTTCCACCATAAGTGCTTCGTTGGGTTTGGCCAATGCCCAATTTCATTGAGATTCAACGGTTCATAGGCAGGTGAGAGAGATATTGCAAGACAACCATTTACGAACAAATTAGCGAAACAATAAACAACATTTAGTTATCAATTTATGTTTGGATTAAGAGAGGGAGATAGATCCATAACTTCCTTTACCTCCATCCCAACTTGATTTCTGTTCTTCAATTGGTATTAAATACATACATAAGAGTTCTAAATCTAAAACCAAATATCATTGTCTCTCACCCGTTTTCAAACAATATACATAAAAAAGAAAAGAGGGCAAAGGCAGCATGAGTAGGATCAAGCTGAGTTTCTTGGTTGCTACAATTTTGACGTTATTATTGTTAGCTTTTACCGTCGATGCTCAATCTAGCGCCGATGTTGTTTTTGATTTGGAAGCATATGGTAACATAGTGCCTGGTACTGACATCACGACGGTAAATATACAATATGAACATCAATATTATCACTAGTTGAGTTGATCGATTGTTTGCTAATTCTTGTTACTTGTGAAACGTAGGCTTTAGCAAATGCATGGAAGGATGCATGCGCGTCCGGTCGTTCTAGTGCAATTGTTATTCCAGGAGGGACATTTGAAGTCAGGGAAGGGAAATTTGCAGGACCTTGTAAAAACCGAATTGACTTCCAACTTGGAGGAACACTGCGGGCACCAAAAACTCTTCCAGGAGATAATTGGATTACTTTTGCACAGGGGAAAGAATGATTGCCATAAACGCATAAATTGTGCCCAACTCCCCATTGTAAGCAATATGCCTTCAACTTTCCTTTTCAATCTCGGGCATCTTGTTGTTTTTGGAAGGGTCTCTTAGATGTCTTCTCTCATCTTCTAAGGTTTATAATTTGGTAACTGTTCTTCCTTTTCTAGAGGATAATCTTTAAACAATCAAGTTTTCAATTTTATTGGGTTCTATTCAAATTGTTTGCTTTATTACTACTAACTCTCACAAAATATTATTTAATTATACAAAATATTTAGAGTTTGAGGTTCAACTTCATTACCAATTCAATCGTGACGAGAATAACGTCACTTGATAGCAAGAATTTCCATATCAACGTCCTCGGCTACAACAACCTCACATTCCATAATATGGTGCCCCATGTTAGATTTGAACCAAGATTTGGAATCTAGATTCAGCAACTGATTCCCTCGACATTCCCCAAAATCCACCGTGACATGGCTACCCTACCTTAAACCCCATTTAGGGCATACATGCATTTCATTGTTAAAAAATGCCCAATATATTCATAATGAATCAATAAAAATCAAAATGGTAATCTATCAATGATTATTTAAAAATGGTTCTAGCCAAAGAATTTGTTCGTTTTTGTTTCCTAAGATTGTGGAGTGATTTTAAGTTGGTGTGGATTTCCATTAAATTTTGTGGTTCGTTATCTCTTGAAATAGAATTATCGAAGAACAATTCAAATGGTTAGATTACTTAACCTTATTTCATTTTTGTAAAGAACTTGCATGAATTTGATATCAAAAACCCTCCTATTGTAGAATTTGATATCAACAATGGCTGCAGCTGCTACCACCTCCCTCCATTTCGCTATGTACCCTTGGTTTGCCCTTGGCCATCTCACTCCATTTCTCCATCTCTCAAACAAGTTAGCCAAAAAAGGCCACAAAATATCCTTCTTCATCCCCACCAAAACGCTTCCCAAATTGCAGCCCTTAAATCAATTTCCTAATCTCATTGCCTTCATCCCCATCACTGTTCCTCATGTTGAAGGCCTTCCCCATGGCGCCGAGACCACTTCGGATGTCCCTTACCCTCTCCACACCCTCATCATGACTGCCATGGATCTCACTCAATCTCAAATCAACCTCCTCCTTGAAGACTTAAAGCCTCATCTCATCTTCTTTGATTTCACTCATTGGTTGCCACAATTGGCTCGCCAATTTGGTATCAAATCAATTCATTATTGTGTCACAACTGCCGCCATGATTGCTTATACTCTAGCCCCATCAAGGCAATTTTCTAAAAACGAGTTAACCGAGGAAGATCTCATGAACCCTCCTCTTGGATACCCTAGCTCCACCATTAAGCTCCATGCCCATGAAGCTAAAGTTTTTGCATCAAGAAGGAAGTGGAAATTTGGAAGTGATGTTCTTTTCTATGATCGTCAATTCATTAGTTTTAGTGAATGTGATGCAATAGGGTTTAGAACATGTCATGAAATTGAAGGAGATTTTGTAAATTATCTTCAAATTGAGTTCAAAAAACCTATTTTTCTATCTGGGTCAGTCATACCTGAGCCATTAACAACACCTCTAGAGGAGAAATGGGCAAGCTGGCTCTTAGGGTTTACCAAGGGCTCAGTGATATATTGTGCTTTTGGGAGTGAGTGTACGTTAAAAATTGAGCAATTTCAAGAACTTTTGTTGGGGTTTGAGCTTTCAAACATGCCATTCCTTGCAGCACTCAAGCCACCGTTCGGGGTGGACTCGATCGAAGATGCATTGCCAAAAGAGTTCGTGGAGAGAATTGGAGGGCGAGGTGTGGTTCATGGCGGGTGGGTTCAACAAGAGAGGATTTTGGAGCATCCATCGGTGGGATGCTTTGTTAGTCATTGTGGATCCAATTCTTTGAAGGAGGCATTGGTGAATAAGTGTCAATTGGTGTTGTTGCCTCAAGTTGGTGATCAAATTATCAATGCGAGGATGATGGGGAACAATCTTAGAGTTGGAGTGGAAGTGGAGAAAAGGGAAGAGGATGGATTGTTTACAAAGGAAAGTGTGTGTAAAGCTGTGAGGATTGTGATGGAGGAAGACAATGAAATTGGAAAAGAAGTTAGAAAAAATCATGATAAAATAAGGGATCTTTTGTTGACAAAAGATTTGGAACAATCTTATATTGATAAGTTTAGCAAGAGTCTTTGTGATTTTGTGGCAAACAAGTAGAAACCATACCTTTTATCTTCACGATCGGTCGAGAACAACTATGCATGGCTTGGTTTGGAGGTGCTCGAGTCCTACTAAAGTTTTCTCAGTCTTGTGTTTTGATGTGCATGGGTAACATGATTGAATACACCAAAATTGTCACCTAATTGTTTTTTAGCTTCTATAAATGGTGAAATATAAGTTTTGATTAGCTCATTCACAAGATCCAATATAAGTTTTGATTAGCTCATGGAAATGAGCTGTTACACAAGATCCTAATAGTAATTGTTCTGAATGTAACCGTTCTTTCTTATGTAATTGTTTCTAGATTAACGAGTTCGAGTGTACCGGAGGCTCCCCCAAAGATACATGTGCTCCTATTCAATCTGAGTCTTACAAAAACCCTATTGAATGTCGATGAATTGATGTTATCAAGTGGAGGAAGTTTTGATGGTCAACAAAACAATGACTGCTATGAAAACATAACTTTGTCTAATTCTTTTAATTTTGTGTTGAATAGATCCTTAAACATTTAGTTAAGTCTTTGATCTATTCAACGACACAAATATATATGAACGTCCGTCAAACACGAATTCACTAAATTCGAAACTTAGAGTTATAAATTCTAGATAAACTTTTATATCAAAACATAAAATAATTTTTTCATATGCTGTTCTTCATCTAGCAAGAGGTAGTGGTAAACAAGACACTTTGTGTCCCTCACCATCCCTTGATCACATACTTTATTCCCTTCTAATATGTCATTTTCAAGCTTTTAAATGTTTCTAAAAGCTTGAAAATTTATGTGGTTGGAATTGAAGCCCACCACTTACTTGGAAATCGTATTCCTTAAGCAAGAGAGAAGATTTTTAAACCACTTTTTTTTCATTAATTTTTTAAATTTAGTAAAAAGACTACTTTTTCCACCATAAAAATATTTACTTTATTCCTAGTGTGTTTGGCTTGAATTTATTGATTAAGATTTAAATTAATAAAAATATCGTAGGAAATCGTTAGTATTTGAAAGTGTTTTCAAAATAACATGGGAAATCGTTTTTGAGTTCGAGCGAGGGTAGCATTCTGGTCTTAAGAAAAGCCGTCCTGTCCGGCCATATGTCCTGTGAAGTCAGTTGCATATCGGGTCAGCATAATTGTAACAATACAACTAAATAGGTGCGGTAGACGAAGGTGCGAAGCTGTGAGACCGAGTTACCGTGAAAGAATAAATAGGAAATAGGAAAAGGAGCACAAATCAATAGTTGGGTGAAGGAGCAAGGGGAAAGAGTTGTTTACAACAAATCAATAGTTGGGTGCCTGGTTTGAAATACATCCTCAGAATGACCCGGAAAAAAACATAACATAGTCTGAAGATAATCTATAATGTATATGTGTTGATAGACTGTTTTCATTCATCTATTGATGGTAAAGTTGTACTAACACTATTTTTAGAATAAATACAATTTTGGTATTTTTGAAAAAGTTGAAAAGTATTAAGGAAGCTTTTTAAAAATTAAGGGTATTTTTTAAATACTTTGAAAGTTTAAGAGTATTTTTTAATCTAAGTATTTCCATTCTAAATGAGCTGGTGTCAACGGTATTTTTGAGACTTGAACCAAAGGATTACATCTAAAACTAACAAAAACGATGAGCTCAATCATAAGAACTCCATGATTTAGCGTATTTTGCTTGGAATAATTCTATATTAGGTGATCTACTAAAAATTTTCCTAGAATGCAATTGAGTGGGGACAATTGGTTTGTGAGGATAATCTCCCCTCTTAGAAGTCAAGGGTAAGTATTGCAAGGGAATGTTGAGGTCATTAGATGTCGAATCTAGATTTTGAATCCTAAACATGGATCATTACAAATGGTATCCGAGCAATAACTTTCCTAATAAGATATGGTTCAGGGACGAACCAACGCGGAAGCAGGTAGGTATATGACACTCGAATAGCTGAGAAGTGCATGAATGAACTAAGACCACATTTGAATGAGAGGAATCCGGAAGATAGAATAGCTAGAAAAGATTTAAAAAAATTGAAAGTCAATATCTATACCAAAAAATATACATCTTTCTTTTGTATGGCTCAATCATAAGAACTTCATGATTAAGCATGTTTTGCTCGGAGTAATTTTATTTGACGACCTCCTGAAAATTTTTCTAAAATCTTTATAAATAAGGACAAAACATGTTAAAATAACTCGGATCCGTTTAACTTAAACCTTATACCTTATTTTGTCCCTCATCATTGATTTGTTCCGCTCATCCCTTCCATCTTTTTCTCCAAATGTTCCATTGCTAAGAGATAAAGAAAGAAAAGACAAGAAAATAATAATTGCATATTTTAGTATTAAATTGCAATAGGCAAATAAAATAAAAGGCCCATTTGCAAAGCCACTCTAAATTAAATTAAGTAAATCACTAATTCATATCACGACAATCAATGATTTTTTTATTAAAAAAACACTGATATTTATATTAATTAAAATTAAAAAAGACTTTTTAAAAAAAAGGAAGCATAAAGTTTGCCTTTTAACATAATTTTTTAAATACTTAATAGCTAGTTTTAATTCCTATTTACTTCAAAGAGGGAATAATAAGGTCGTTTTCGTTTATTTTATCTTCACTTGTGTGAGATCTCATGTCGATTGAAAAAGGGAACGAAACATTCTTTATATGGGTGTGAAAACCTCTCCTTCGAAGATGCGTTTTAAAAATCTAGAGGAAAATCCCGAAAGTGAAAGTTCAAAGAGGACAATATATGCCAGTAGTGAGCATCATATTCTCAAGATTGCTCTCATTCGTATCTGGTCTTGTTTATTCATGTATTCCTTGTTTACTCGAACGTCACAAGTTAACAAGTGAAAGAAGCTAGAAATAAAGGGCTACGCGAGAATATGTCTTTAAAAAATAACTCGTGGATCGTTTTTTTAATCGAACTAGCCCTTATCCTATGCTTGGAAATCTCTAGATTTAGTACGAACAAATATTGAAGTTAAGTATAGAACCAAAAAAGGGTTTGCTTGAATAAACAAAAACACTTGTATGGTGGGGCATAAAATAATGATTTAGACCCATGAAATGAAAAGGAATCCTCTTCACATCATGCATAGTGAAGAACACATTGAGAAGTTGAGAGAATAATAATGATCAAATTCAATTGAGAAAAGCAAATGGAATGGATAGCCACCACCACTCCACCGCCCACTCAACACCACATTGGCCCCCATTATAAACCAAAGTTGGAGGATGTTGCCTCTCTCTATTTTCTTTTCTTCCCACATCATTATTATGGACACAACCCTACAACCCTAACAACTTCCATTATCGATTAGGTCGCCCTTGAACGAGTCAACCGAGCGTCTCAATAGCGAGATTGGATATCGAAATAGAATCAGAGGTGACATTCCAATCCGATACAGATCCCTACCTCCCACAAGCCACTCATCAGATCCCGTTCAAACTTAATATTTTCGTAATCCCTCCTATAGTGAACATTTATCCATAATCCCTAAATGCTTGATTTGGTCGAGAAAGACTGAACTGTTTTAAGATCCAATTATATGGATTGTAACATCTTGTAGTAATTCACACAACAAGATTTAAAATTTAAGGAAAGCAAAAGATGACAAATGTGATTGAAAAATTTTGTAATTTGTGAAGTGATACATTGTTTTATACATGCATATTTGAAACCTAACTCGAATTCAAACACGAATCGAAACATAACTCGGTAACATTTCGATCCAAGATTTGAATTCCGACCCAACAATTGTAATACTAAAAGGATCCAAACTAAGTCCCAATGGCTCTATAACAAATATCCACACAAACCCATTTACATTAAGATAGCATATCTCATGCTGTCACTTACCATAAGATGATTCACTTCAGATATTCTGGCGAACTCGCCGGAGACCCACATCCCGTCGACGCCATTAACATGTGGGTGAGAGAAGCAAGATAGAAACGAAAATGGGGTTCGAAGAACATTGTAAATTATCGAAACCCCATGTGAATTTCTCTCTCTACGGCGGCCGCCGTCGACCACCCTTCCGCCGCCGTCAACTCCACCGCCGCTGAACATGCTTTCATCAGCCACTCGTGGGCTCTTCCTTATGTTGTGGAGTTTACTTCTCACTGCCGCCGCCAACCGCCACATCTGATGGTTGAAATTTGTTTTTTTTTTTTTTGTTTTTAGAGGGCGAGGAGAGAGAAAGAGAGTGGAATTTGAAGAAGAAAGGTATGGAGATGGGAGTTTAATAATGGGAGGTGTTGATCTTGTAATTGGTGGTTTTGGGGTCCATTCATTTCCAATCCAACATCGACAACCTTACCTAATTACTCACAAAACCAAACTATTTTTCGGAGTTTTTAAAAATATTGTTGTAGAGATGAAGTTATGAGTAGTTCTTATCCTAGCTAGGTTTGACCTATCTATTAAGTATCAATCATAGTTTAGGGTAGGGCTGAATTTTCATGTATTTGACTTATCTATCAAAGTATCAATAAAAGGTTAGATAGATCTTTAATAACCCTTTTGTCACCGATGCATTCTGTTCGAGTTCTGATGCGATCCATCTTCCCATGATTTCTCTTGCATGCATCACGATGTCTTTTTCGCACCATATGTCGCTGTCTGCCTTACAGTTTTAAAATGCGTCTACTAGAGAGAGATTTTCACACTCATTATAAAAAATGTTTCATTTCCCTCTCCAACTGATGTGGGATCTCACAATTCACTCTCCTTGAATCAGCATCCTCGTTGACACACTGCTGGATGCTTAACTCTAATACCAACGGTAACAATTTAAGACCACTACTAACAGATATTGTCCGTTTTAGTTTGTTACATATTAGCCTGTTACGTATTTAAAGACTAAACTTGTAATTTAACCCATTATTTCTCGATCATTTTTTGTTTAAATTATGGTAGGTCAATTTGAAGTTTGAAAGAAAATTCCAAAAGAAAGTGGAAAGAAGGGTAGGGCATAGTGTTTATGAAAAGGACTTGACCACAAACACAAAAATTAAAATGGGAATGTGAGTGCTACTCCACTATACCTTCTTATATTGCTCTCAACTTTCACTTAATTATGTTCTTTCCATTTCATAAAAGTGAAATTTTTGACCCCTACCATCCACCTTTTTTGGAGTCTAATGTCTTTGTTGGCACACCGCTTAGTATATAATTCTGTCCAAGTCTAACTCTAGTACTATTTGTAACAGTTCAAGTCTATCGCTAATAGATATTATCTGTTTTAACTCGTTACGTATCATCGTCAGCCTCACGGTTCGAGTCTAATAAGGAAAGACATTCACACCTTTTATAAGAGATGTTACGTTCCCCTCTCTAACTGATATGGAATATCACATTTCGTAATCAATTAAATAATAGAAATTGGGATGATTAAAATATTTAAATTTAGGATGGGATAATTTTAATTTATTCCCATTATAACAAAATAAAAAGTTAGATTAAGGTCAACGTTATTTTACTTGTTCATATTGTAATATGGGATTAAGCTATTAGACCTACCGACACATTATAATTTAATATAGACTATGAAAAAGCATTTCAATAATTGCTATTAATTTTCTTATGGCATTGGCTTGGAGTGGTATGCCACTATTTTTATCATTTAAATATTTCCCCCCTCTTTTTCCACTTTAATTTAGAATATAAATATAATGAGGGGACTCGAGGGACTCGAGTCGTCAAGTTGTATAGGTCGTACCAAGACTTGATACACGGGCGAGCCAATGAGAAGCCACAAGTAATTAGGTCGTGTCAACATCGAGTTGTCATTCTTATGCTTCACCTGTCATACTCTAACTACATGAAACAAGTCAATTTTATTGGATTCGCTCCTACTTAAATCGGTATGGCCCGATCATCAATAAGGAATAACTTTTTCTTCTCTGTTTCGAAAGTAAGCTGCCACATTGACATCATTTCGTTTGCAAAGAATTCTCGATGTGAAAACGGAAAGACGGGAGAGTGGATTTGAAGAGATGATATCATTAAGAAAAGAAACATTTTTAAAATTTTGAAACATCGTTCGCTCTCGTAGGTCTTCTTTAACTTTATTTCCACCATTTACATCTCTAGGGATTGATAAGTACCAACTAAGCCATTACCAGAGTCCGATGATTCGATCTTAACTTAATATCAACTTAGAAGTGCTTTGCTAAGTTGAGGTGCGACTATCTATTGTAGAATCGTTAATAACGTGGCTATCACTATTATGTGTGTAAAAATTAACTCCTTCTACAATTGTTGTATTCAGGAGAACTTGTTTCATAACAGCTCGATATTCTATCTGATCTTCCAAGGTATTGGTTTTCTTTACTATCATTTGATACGAAAATCAACCTAAATTAATTTTAACGGGTCACAAAATTATAATTAAAAATATTCAAACTTTTATAAACTTTTATAAGATATGTATATAAAGTGACTTTTTCATATATAAATAAAGGAAAATAGACATATTTTTCATGATTAAGAAAAAAACAATATATTCTTAATGCTTGACATTTAGAAAGGTGTAAAATTGTCTTATTTGTATGAATAGGAACAATAGAACATGCTTGGTCCCAAATTTAATACAACTTTTCTTTATTTTTTATTATTTATATCTTTTTTTCTTCATGTATTCATGTTCCTTTGATAACGACAAGTCGGAATACTTTTATTTTAAGCGACATATTCTTACACTCAAACGACATAACTTTAACTAAAAAATAAAAAAAGAAAAAGACTCATGCCTAACATTCTGAATCTAGATTGGACACCTGATGACTCTAATATTTCCCTACATCCCATTTATAAATTGTCTTATTTATTCGTAAAAATGGTGACTTTCAATTCTTTTAGACATTTCCTAGTCATTCTATTCTAAGGGTTGCAATCATTCGGATATAATCTCGATTCATTTATTTACTCGTTCTTTATTTGGTGTCATATGCTCATAAGCTTTTTCCATGATTCGTCCTCGACCCATATCTAGGTACTGCTCTAATACCATTCATAACACTCCATGTCCTCGATTCGAATCAAGATTATGAATCTGAATTTGGTACCTGATGACTTCGACATTCTCTATGACATGGTCACATTACTTAGTCTTCACTTTTAAGAGTGAAGACCATTATAAAATGATCAATGATCAAATTATATTTGTTTGATAGTTATGTTTGATCAGCTATCGTGAAACGACGACCATTCTATTTAAGAGTTGGTTTGGATGTCCTACACTTGAAGGGCAATGTGCTAATGATCTGCCATAATGAGTTCCAAAAGAAACAACGTACTCCCACATATTAACTTTCTACTCGAGTTACTTGGCTAGCTATGCCACGAGCGTAAACGTAATTGTGTTTCTCTCTGAGTACTTTAAATCGTTTAAATCACGAACATAATGAAATTTTATCTAATTAGAGTTTTTTAATATATCCTAGGAGCTAAACACGTAAGGATACTACGTTTAAGATAATAATCCATGTTTGTTTAAGAACATAGACAACAATACAATCTCACACCAATATCATATATAACTTGCAACCAAACAAATCCAACATTTTATTGCCACGTGGCAAGATGCCACGTGTGAAGAGGTTCCACGTGGCTTCCAAACTTAAAAAACCACAAATTTCATCACAAAAATCCCACACATAATATACCATATTTTCCATTTCTTTCACTCTGTCTTCTCCTCCGACACTTCCTTCTTCTCATCTTCTTCCTTGCCCTCCTCTTCTACCGGAGCTTCGGCTTCCGGTGCCGATGGCTCGTCGGAACCGTCGTTTTCTTCTTTGGCAACCTCTGCAATTGATAATGATTCCAACTCCTCCGCCGCCCCCTCCTCATCCGACAGGATCACAACCTCCTCCTCCTCCTCCTCCTCCTCCTCCTCTTTGGCAGCTACTTCAACTTCAACACTCTCTTCTTCCTCCGCCTTCTCTTCCGGTGCCGCCGCTTCCTCGTTAACTATGGCCGCTTCTTCTGGGAGAGCGGTGGTCGGAGGTACAGGCTGCAAGTTAACAAAAGAGTATTAAAAAACATTTACATACATACATATATATACAATATGTATATATATGTATATATTATTGATATTGTACCTCAACGGCGGCCATGGAAATGCTTGTTTTGAAGAAAGGAGGGTGTCGCAAAGAAGACTGAAAATGTATGTGAAATTTTATGGAGCTGCGAGTTGGTTTATATAGAAACATCCAACTTGAGTTTATTCATAAAATAATAACTTTTTTTATTAAGAAAAAACGTTCAAATATTATCACCATGTTACGTATTGCCATCAGTTTCACGACTTTAAACTGTGATCACTATAGAGAAGTTTTCACACTCTTATAAGTAATACTTCGCCCTCTTCTCCAACTAACGTGGAATCTCACTATCCACCCTCTTTGAGGGCCCAATGTCCACCGCCCATTGTCTGGCTCTGATACCATTTGTAACAGCATCTTTTGACGCGTTACGTATCGTAATCAGCCTCACAGTTTTAAAATGCGTTTATTAGGGAGAGGTTTCCACACCCTTATAAGGGATGCTTTAGGACTTCTCGGTTTGCTAGCTTATAAAATTTGTTTCTCAAATTGCTTTCGAAACGTTTTCCAAAACTTTCTCTAACCCTATTTTCTACCCTACGTCATTTGTATCACTCACGACCCAAGTAATATTTTTTCTTTGGCAATGTGTGCCAAAGCACCTTGCTTTGTGCTGTCGGGGATTTAGACACGATCAATGATGAATTTCTTGTTCGAGTTTTTAATTATATTTATTTTTTATTTTATAATATTCAAGAAAATTAATTAATTATTGATGTATAATATAAGGTTTTGAAGAGGCTACTAATTTAATGTGATGATCCATCCATGACTAGGCTAGCTTGTTCGTATCATTTATTCTATTAATATTTAATTAATCAATCAATTAATATAATGTTGAAATATTAAGTTTATAATAACTTAATTCATTATTATTATTTTTATAATTCTTGTCAACGTAATAAAGTTGGCTTTTTGGAGTTGAAAATAAAAAATAAAATAAAAAAATCATATAAAATTGAAATAATGGATGTGGCCTTTGAATTTATTATTTTTTATAATTTAAATAAAGGAATTATAGTTATTGGGGTTTTGAAATATAAAAAATGTAGACATTTTCAACCAATTATTTTTTAAAAAATTGGGAAAATAGAGCATAAAATAAAATATATTTAAAATAATAAATAATTAATTAACATTATTGTGGAGTCCCATGAGTATGTCTCTTATGGAAGGTTTCGTGCGCTCCATGTCCATAATTTGAATTATGATTCGGAATTCGTATTCGATATCTGATAGTGTTAAGAATGAGAAATAGAAATAGAATTGGGATCGAAAGTATGATCTTCATTCAGGTTTAACACGTTTAAATAGGATACAAACTATCAACTAATACCTAAAAATAGAAAAATATATATCTAATTAAATCCGGTAAATAAATAAAATATACTGTTAATCAAATCTATACTAACAACTTCCTAAATATCTAAGATATATTCTAACTAATTATCACGGCAAAATATCCTCTTAATACTCCCCCTCAAGTTGGAGAGTGTATGTCGATCACACCCAACTTGTCCTTCAAAAAGTCAAATTGCTGTCTTCCCAAAGCTTTAGTAAAAACATCTGCCAATTGCATTTTGGTCGAAACATAACACGGTTTGATGATTCCAGCTTGTAATTTTTCTCGAACTATATAACAATCTATTTCAATGTGTTTCGTACGTTCATGAAAAACTGGATTGGCCGCTATATGTAATGCTGCTTGATTATCACAATATAATAATGCTGGTTCGGACAGTGGAACATTCAAGTCTTGAAGAATGTATCTTAACCAAGTTAACTCTAAACAAGTATTTGCCATAGCTCGATACTCGGCTTCTGCTGATGATCTGGACACATTAGTCTGCTTTTTAGACTTCCAAGAAATAATTGAATTTCCGAGGAAAATGCAGAACCCAGAAATAGATCGTCTGGAAGTTCGACAACCACCCCAGTCAGAATCGCAATATGCCTGTAATCTTAAATTGTTTTCAGATGGCAGTAGAAGTCCTTGACCAGGAGTGCCTTTAATGTACCTCAGAACTCGAAGAGCTGCCTCCCAATGTGGTTTTCTTGGTTCATGCATAAATTGGCTAAGCATACGAACTGAATAAGCTATGTCAGGCCTAGTGACGGTCAAATATATTAATCTGCCAATCAACCGTCTGTATTTACTTGGATCATTCAACTTCTCTCCTTCGGTTAAAGAAAGTTTCAGATTTTGCTCCATAGGAAATTTGTCTGGACGTGCTCCTGTAAGACCTGTGTCTTGAAGGATGTCTAGAGCATACTTCCTTTGAGACATAAAAATTCCTTTTCTAGATCGAGAAAATTCAATGCCTAGAAAATATTTCAAATTTCCTAAATCTTTGATAAGAAATTTCTGGAGTAAACTAGTCTTGAGATATTGAATTTCTTCGAGATCATTGCCTGTCAACAGAATATCATCAACATAGATTAGAACTGCAGTGAAAGAAGTACCTTTACTCTTAGTAAACAAAGAGTAATCTGCTTTGGACTGAGTGTAGCCTGCATTTTGTATAGTTGTAGAAAATATGGAGAACCAATTGCGAGAAGCCTGTTTTAATCCATAAAGAGATTTATGGAGCCGACATACTGTATTCTCCCCCTGTTGGCGAAGACCTGGTGGTAAAGACATATAAACTTCCTCGTCTAGATTACCATGGAGAAAGGCATTTTGAACATCCAACTGATGGGTGAACCATTTTCGAGCAGCAGCAACAGTGAGTAAGCAACGAAGTGTAGTAAGTTTCGCTGTAGGGGAAAATGTTTCTGTGTAATCAATACCTTCAACCTGAGTGTACCCCTTTGCTACTAGTCGAGCTTTATAACGTTCAACAGAACCATCAGAGTTGTATTTAATTTTGTACACCCAACGACAATCAATAGCTTTATGACCAAGTGGTAGAGGAACGAGAGACCATGTATGATTACGTTCCAAAGCTGCAATTTCATCATTCATAGCCTGCTGCCATAACGGGTCGCCAACTGCCTCGTCATAGGTTTTAGGTTCTGTCTGGGATGTAATAAGAGCTAGAAAAGCACGTTGAGTAGGAGAAAAATGAGAGAATGAAAGGTAATGATGAAGGGGATACCTGGTGCCAGTGCCGGGACTTGAGCTAGAGGTTAAATGATTGGCTCCAGAAGACATCTCATAATCCTTATGCCAAGCTGGAGGCTGTTTAGTACGAGTAGAACGTCGAAGTGGAGCTGATGTATCAGGTGGGATAGGATTGGAATTAGTGGGCGAATCTGGAGAAGGTGGAGGAGACGACGGAGTAGTAGGTGAAGGAGGAGTAGGAGGTGAAGGAGGAGTAGGAGGTGAAGGAATAGGAGGTGAAGGAGGAGTAGGAGACGACGGAGTAGTAGGTGAAGGAGGAGTAGGAGGTGAAGGTGGAGGATGGATGTTTGAGTAGGATGGATCATGAAGTGGTACAACAGGAGTCGAAGGAGCTAATGTCGAAGTTTGTGAAGCTGATGAAAAAGGAAAATCATCTTCACAAAATTTGACATCACGGCTGATAAAGAATGTGTGAGATTGCATGTCATACAACTTGTAACCTTTATGACCACAAGGATATCCTACGAAAACACAAGGAGTTGCCCTAGGTTCAAATTTTTGCTTAGGATGTACTATAGTTGCATAGCATTTACAACCAAAAACTTTAAGATGATGAAATGTAGGTGGTCGTTTGTAGAGTGCTTCAAAGGGTGTCTTGTTAGATAATAATGGTGATGGCGTTCTATTTATAAGATAAACAGCCGTTAAAATGCACTCTCCCCAAAAATTAAGTGGAACCTGTGACTGAAAAAGAAGAGACCTAGCTACATTTAGGATATGGCGATGCTTGCGTTCTACGACTCCATTTTGTTGTGGAGTATAGACACAAGTGCGCTGAAATTCAATACCACAAGAAGTAAAGAATGGTTGCAAAGATAGGAACTCAGTCCCATTGTCTGATCGAACTATCTTGATAGTAGTATGAAATTGAGTTTGAACGAATTTAACAAAGTTCATCAACAAATGATGTACTTCTGACTTATGTTGCATTAAAAAAACCCAAGTACATCGAGTAAAATCATCAACAATAGTGAGAAAAAAACGCAAACCAGAATGGGTAGGAATTTTATGTGGTCCCCAAACATCACAATGTATCAGATCAAAAGCAGAATGGGTTGTTATTGAACTTCTTGGGAAAGACAACCTAGTTTGTTTTGCTAACGGGCAGATACTGCAATTATGAGAATAACTCGCATTATTAAGATGCAATTGATCAGCTAGAAATTTAAAACGAGAAAAGGAAGGATGACCTAGGCGTAAATGCCACAAATCAGATGACTGAGATACTTGATGAGCTGAAGACTTGATTGGAGATGAAGAAATATGATAGAGACCTCCAAATTGTTTACCCGAGCCAATCATCTTCCCCGTAGCCAAGTCCTGCATAACACAAGAATCAGGATAGAAGGTGACATAACATTTCAAGTTATTGATAAGTTTGCTGATCGACATTAGGTTTAAATTGAATGAAGGCACACATAAAACGTTGTTTAATTTAAGGTTAGGGCTAAGGGAAATATTGCCAGTATGTGACACACGTGTTGTCTCTCCATTAGGCAAATTTATTGTAGACATGATGGCAGCCTTTGGTTTAGTCATAACAGAAGATTTTGATACTATATGATCCGTAGCTCCACTATCGAGAATCCATGAATTAGAACTCGCAGAGTTAATAGATAATGTAGATATGGGAAACAAACCTGCAACATTGATGTGATTGTCAGAATTACCAGAAGGGTGATTATTGATTGCAGATAAGGCTTGTGCTATCTGTCGTAATTGCTCAGAAGAAAAATTTGGAATGGAATTAGGTGACTGTTCTTCTGTATTCAACTGTGAAACATCGGCCATATTTGCAGATGATCGATATCCACGGTTATTGTGTTGATTGTCTTGTCTTGTCCTTCCAGAATTATTTTTCTGTCGACACCGATCTTCTGTATGGCCCCTTCTATCACAAAACTTACAGTGAAACTTAAGAATTCGACACTCATTAATTGTATGACCACTTTTATTGCAGTGTTCACACAATTTGTCCTTGGCGAATTTTGAATATATTGTTTTCTTTTGCACTGCTGATGCAATCGAGATTTTCTCAGTAGGTTCGGAAGTTACCTGACGCTGCATCTCTTCTTGTACAAGTAATGAATAGGCTTGCCTCACATTAGGTAATGGAGACATCATCAATATGTTAGATCTCACCGTTTTATAAGACTGATTGAGCCCCATGAGCAATTGCATCAACTTGTCTTCTTCGCGTTGATCAATATGTATTTGACGTTGATTACAGGTAAATGGTGTGCGGTACGCTTCCAGTTCATCCCAGAGTGCTTTGAGCTTGGTGAAATATGTTGACAGTGCCATGGTTCCTTGTGACATCGTTGCTATCGAGTTTTGTATTTGAAAAATTGCTGGAGCATTCTTTTGTGAGAATTGATCGTGAAGATCAACCCACACTTGATGAGCTGTCTTGGCGTGAATAATGCCTTTAGCAATATCTGCTTCAACGGAATGAGTTAACCAAGATATTATCATACTGTTGCACTGATTCCAGAGTTCGAATTCGGTTGAATTTGCATCTTGGGACGGTTCCTCAATTGTGCCATCAATGAAGCCAATTTTCTTCTTGGCAATAAGAGCATGCATAACTGATTTCCTCCAGGATTGATAATTTGCTCCATTTAATTTGATTGGAACAAGTGAATATCCTGGCTGATCAGAGTGATGAATATAGTACGGATGTGTTAAATCAACATCCGAAATTTTGAAGCTAGATTTGGCTGATTCCGCCATAAAGGAAATTTTGATATTTAAGAACACCAAGATCGGTGCTCTGATACCATGTTAAGAATGAGAAATAGAAATAGAATTGGGATCGAAAGTATGATCTTCATTCAGGTTTACCACGTTTAAATAGGATACAAACTATCAACTAATATCTAAAAATAGAAAAATATATATCTAATTAAATCCGGTAAATAAATAAAATATACTGTTAATCAAATCTATACTAACAACTTCCTAAATATCTAAGATATATTCTAACTAATTATCACGGCAAAATATCCTCTTAATAGATAGTCCCGACATTCTCCTGCGAAATGATCACTTTACTTACTTTTTGGTTCTAAGAGTAAAGACTATTCCACAGACCAACACGAGTCTTTCTAGCATGTTTTGTCCCCATTCACATGCATTTAAGAAAAATTTCTCAAAGATCACTCAATATAGAATTGCAAATTGCTTCAAGCAAAACACGCTTAACCTTGGAGTTCTCGTGAATGAGCTACCAAAAAGAAATGTGCAACTTACTTGTATACGTAGTAACTTTCATTTCTTTTTTTAAGTCTTTCTTAGTTATCTTATTCTCATGATTGCTCTTATTCCCTTTTATGATACTAAACCAAGTAAATCAAGCAACCTCGGAATCAACCATACTTGATTTGACTAGGTTAGAGAAGATAATGTGTAACGGCCTAGATCCACCGCTAGCAGATATTGTCCTCTTTAGGCTTTCCCTTTCGGGCTATCCCTCAAGGCTATAAAACGCGTCTACTAGGGGAAGATTTCCACACCCTTATAAATGGTGGTTTGTTCTCCTCCTCAACCAACGTGGGACATCACATAATGTTTGTGTATACATCATACGTATAGTCATGTTCTTGCTTCCACTTCGACATATTCATGTTCAACACGAGTTCTTCCAGCATTTTTTGTCCTCATTCACATGAACTTTTCGAAATTTTTCAAGAAATCACCCAACACATAATTACTCCAACAAAAGCACGCTTAACTATGAAGTTCTATGATTGAGCCACCAAAAAGAAAAGTTCGTCTTGTTGGTATAGACAGTATCTTTCATTTATTTTAAGTTTTTCTTAGTCATCCTATCCTTAAAATCCCTCTTATCGTATGTGGTCTCGGTTCATTTATATATCATTCCTTTATTCAAATGTAACAAATGTAAAGCCAGAAAATTGATAAAGATCATGACAATTTGAATAAGTGTTTCCGTAAAAGATAAAGTTTGATTTAATTTATGTATGTTACAGTCACGAGAAACACGAGTAATAAAACAAACTAAGAAATAATAAATAAATGAGCTCAAATGGTCAAATAACATAATCATAATATCAACAAAGGTATCCACTAATGCTCACACCAACATGTTCCTTGTATGTCTTAGGCGACAATCCTTTTGTTAGTGGATCTGCAATCATACGGTCGGTTCGATCCACTTTGCTTCAAAACTTCTTCTTCATAAATCCTTTTGTTAGTGGGCTACTCACATTCATCGGGCTTTTGTTTGAATTGGGTTTTGCCCAATTCAAACAAAAGGCCCACGTTATGTTCTTAACTTTTGTTCAAGTTTTGGGCTTGATAGCCGAATCAGCCCCATAATCAACTATGGTTCAAATTTCAAAACACTTTAATTAAACTAATCATTCATTTGAAACTTAATTTTGTTGTGTTTAAGCTGCTGTATTGTTTGACCATTTCAAACAAGGGACTGAGGAAGAAGCTTCTGCGACTTTGATTCTGAGCGGAAAGTGGGAAAATCGGTACGTTTTCAGTTCAAAAAAATGCCCCGCAATTCTCTGCGCTAATTCCCATATGAATTTTTCAAACCCCACCATCGATTTCTGTCTCTTTCGAGCATTTCGGATCACCACAGGACTTTTTCTCTGAAAACCAGAGCTAAATTCGAACCCCATTGCCTATTTTCCTCTCTGTTTAATGTTTTTGTGATTGTGTTTCACCTTTTCCTTTCTGGGTTTTGTATTTTGTTTACTCCCCGTTGATCTAAACGGGAAAGGAAAGAGACCCACTTCAGATTTTGCCTCTTCTTTCAATTTCTTTACTGGGTTTTCTCATATGGAAATGTTGAGTGATTTGAGCTTCGTTATGTTCTGATTTTGTCGGGTGTTTTTGTCGATTTTGTTCTGTTTCTTTGTCTTAGTGTTACCCTTAATGTCTTTGGCTGTTGAGGCTGCTTCAAATTCCAAGAACATGGGGTTTGATGAGAATCGTGAAGAGGGAGATACATTGGATAACCATGGGAATGAGAATGAAGCTGAGAAGATTAGTAGCCAAATGAATGAAGCTTCTCTTTATGCAACGGAGGATGAAACTGATGATGAAGGAAGCAAAATCGAGTTGGGCCCTCAACGCACATTGAAAGAAGAGCTCGAGAAAGATAAGGTTGTTCTTGTTCTTGTTCTGACATTCAAGATTGTCTGTCTGTTTGTCAGTTCATAAGTTCTGTTTCTGTTGTTTTGTGTCGTGTAAGTTCAGGATGATGAGAGTTTGAGGAGGTGGAAGGAGCAGCTTCTTGGCTCTGTGGATTTAGAAAATGCTGGAGGTAATTAGAATTGTTCTGAAATGCTTC